ATCTGTGTGTTTTTCTTGACTCTCTATAAACAAGCTATGAGTCCTTGAAGTGCCAAGCCAGGATAATCAGTGAAAAAAGTATTTCATTTCCAATAAACAAACATCTAGCTTCCGAGTAACAGCGTTACAAAATTACAATGTTACCATTTCTTTGTTTCTTTTAGTAATTTTTTTGTACTTCAAGTTTTAAAAAAAAGGTCCAATTTTTAAATGAGTTAGAAAAACACCCACAGTAATGAAAGAGGTGAGTTTTAGTGCATAGATTATGGAGAGTAGACAAAAAAAAATAGAAGCAGGAAATGTAATCTGTTCGTTTTAAAAAGCTTGCATACATTCCATCTGTAAAAATAGCATTTAAAAAGTATGATAACCCACTGTTCAAAATCAGTCCAAATTTAATTCTGACACTTATTTCTTCTGTTCTCCAGTTTAAATTAATTTTAAGTTTTTTATAGGCAGTCATTTTTAAAAGAGTAAAAATTCCTCACCAGCTGAAAACACTTTCTCTTTCCATATCCTTCCGTTTTGGAGCCGCCCCGACCTCATCAGCCATTTGGCTGGATTTTTTGTCACCGGCTTGAAGAGTTTCTCTTGGATCAATCAGAGACTTTGTGATGTCCCTGTGATCAGCAAGATGTATTCTTCCTGTTCATTGTCTCTACGGGTCGGTTTAGGGCCATTTGGACCACCCAGAGACAAGTGTCGACTGCGATCTCAAAGCATTGAGATCGCACGTCATGTCATCGCAACTTTGGTGCTACCCCACATCCTTACCTCTTTTGACGCCTCTGAGAGGCTCCGCGACGCTCCAGCTGCTTGGTGGAGTGTCACGCAGGGGCTGTGTGCTCTGTGCACATAGGCGCTGAAGAGCTCAAATACAGGAGCTCAGGCGGGCAGGTGGGCCCTCTGGAACACTGTACCGGAATGGTACCCAGTGCTCTGGGCAGGCACCAGTACTCCCGTCCACCACTGGTATAAAGCCAGGAACTTTCAGCATCTTGCTCTCTTCATTCAACATCTTGAAGCATGTGATCACCTTTTCTGTTCAGGACCTCAAGCCATGTGGTTCTGTCCACCATTGAACCATCTTTCCATGCAGCCTCCATGTTTCCAGTATCTTTTTCCCTACTTGGAGCTGAACCCAGAAGGACATTTCTTCCAACACTGCAATCATCACTCTGTGAAGCCATCTTTAGTGGATGTTCACTAATGATTGACTTAAGCAACAGTGTTTACAGTGAAATAAGAACATAATGAAGAGCCTTGCTTGTTTAACATCTCTGAATATTACAATATGAAGCATCATGAATTTCCAGTTCTACTACAAGGGTCCTTAGTGTTCTCTCTTGGTTATTTTCTTGCAGACATTTCATTACCCAAGGTAACATTATCCCTGCTAGTCTAACACTGTTGTCTAGCACTAGCATTGATGATGTTACCTAGTTTGGTAATGAAACATCTGAAAGAAAACCAACAAGCTGAAAGAGAGCAACGAGGATCTTTCATTTCAACCCTGAGCTACAAATATTATTCTTTACTGGTACTAGTTTATTATATAATCTGTATTAATATCAATTATGTACTAAACAAACATAATATAATAAATTATCTGTTTTATTATTCAATGTCCTGTTCCTCATAGAAGCTAACTATGTATCAATAGTTTTCCATTTCTCATTTGATTAATATCATATTTGCTGGTGTGGGGTCTTGGTGCTTTTTGAGCTTGTTTTTTCCCTTGCAGATGTTTGATTGTCAAACTAGGTTTATTGTTGTTGGAAGAAATTTCTGTGGTTCATTCCCAGCTGGAACACAACACAGATGCTGAGAAGAAATGGATGCAGAAGCCAGCTGCCAGAAAGTAGAATTATTTTAATGTAGGAAGGCAAGAAACAAAAAGTGACACATCTTGAGCATTCCTGGCTTGCAAACAGTTTTGGGAGTATGAATCTTGGCCTATTATGTTTAATTCAACTTTGAAGCTCCTGCAGCTTGATGGGTTTTGTTGTGTTTATAATTGCCCTGGTTTTGTTTTCCTGTTTCTCTGTGTTAATCCTGTTCCTGGGCCTTTGTGTTTCATTGTCCTAAGGGTTAATCCTTGGGGGGGGGGCAGGAAAAGGGAGTTCTGGTTTTGCCTTGGTAAGTTATTTTTAGCCTGATTTCTCTTATTTTAATGGCTCTACTTAAGTGTTTCTGTTGTCAGCTCCGTTACTTTTGTAACAGCAGAGCTGCTCTGAGTTTTCCTTTCAGCTGGTGCTTCTTGGCTTTCTTAAAAGGGGAAGGGGTGGCTTGAGTCTCTTGGCACTGTTTTCTGAGGTTTCTGGTACTTTGAGGTTTCTGGCACTGTTCTTTTGGGGTGTACTTCCCACATAGTCATCTTGGTTATTTTTTTGCAGATGTTTCATTACCCAAGCTAAGTAACATTATCCATGTTAGTCTAGCACCTTTATCTAGCACTAGCAATGAAGATGTTCTCTAGTTTGGTAATGAAATATGAAAACAATCAAGTTTAGAGAGCACCAAGGACCCCGCAGCTAAGCTACAAATATTATTTTCCATATACTGGTGCCAATAGCTAATCTTATATGTACTGAGTTGCTCATGAATTTTAGCTAATCTGGCAGAAACTATCATGCCTACTTACCAGTGACGTGCGGTGAAGTTTATGGCTGGTGAGGCAGTCCTCTCCCCCGGCACCCCACTGATTAAAGCGCTTTCTTTTGCCCGCAGCAGAGCTCAGGTGGGCGAAAGGAAGCTCTTTAGTCAGTGGGATGACAGGGGAGAGGAGAGAATGCATCACGTGGATTTGCTTAAGAAATCCTAACTGGGGCAAGACAAAAGACACTCTGTCTAACTTCTCTCTATGTCTCAGTACTTTCATTGAAGATATTAAAATGTTAAAGCAAGAAAATGGAACCCCCCCCCCTGTCCCTTTACCTCCTTTTATAAGAAAAGATGACCCAGTACCATAGAGCTCCAGGAAATACTTTGGCTAGAGAAGTAGCGTCTGTTCCTTCCTGGATTTCCCGGAGGNTCTGCTAAGACTCTCGCTAAAATGTTCATCTCTCACATTTACTGCTTACATGGGGTGCCTGACCGCATCATTTCGGATAGGGGTGTGCAGTTCACCTCCGTGTTCTGGAGGGAGTTTCTTAAGCGGACTAGCTCCACCCAGGCCTTAAGCTCCGCCCACCACCCTCAGACTAATGGGGTTTGTGAGAGGACTAATTCTGTTCTGGAGCAGTATTTACGTTGTTTCATCAACTACCAGCAAGATGACTGGGTGGACTTGTTGCCACATGCGGAGGTGGCTTATAATAATTCTGTGTATAGCAGCACTGGTTTCACCCCTTTCTGGGTGGTGTCTGGACAGGATTTTGTGCCTATTCCTGAGGTTCCTCGTGAGCAGCCGCAAATCTCGTCTCTCTCTGAGTGGAGTGATCGCCTTCGGCATGTTTGGCCTTTAGCACTTCAAACTTTGGAAGGCTGCGCATCGCACACATAAGAAACAGGCAGATAAAAAATGGACTAAGCCATCTGATTACAAAGTGGGTGATCAGGTTTATCTGTCCACCAAGTTTCTTCAGACTCCCCAAAAGCCCAAGAAGTTGGGGCCTAAGTATGTTGGCCCTTTTTCTGTTATCAAGGTCATCAATCCTGTTTCCGTTCGGCTGCAGCTGCCTAAACACCTCAACCGGGTCTATCCTGTTTTTCATGTGAACCTCATAAGGCCTGTTCACTTTTCATCTTTATGTCCGCCTGTTGCTCCACTGCCCGCCCCGCTGTTGATTGATGGTGAACAACATTTCGAAGTTCACGAAATTTTGGACTCCCGCAGGTGGCAGAATCGTGTTCAGTACCAAGTGGCTTGGAAGCATTTCCCCCCTTCCCATACCGAATGGGTGGACAAGTCCCATGTCCGAGCCCCTAAATTGCTCTGCCAATTCTATTATGCTTATCCTGACAAGCCCTAGTTTGGCGAATATCCTGACATTTTCTCTCTCNATGCATGTGTGCATAACAGGCACTCCCCATTTTTTGCATGCTGTTTTTGCCCTCCCCAGGCTCCAGAGGTTTTATAGGAGCCTGGGGAGGGCAAAAACAGCCTTCCCCCCCCCACCCCGGAAGTCACTTCCAATTTGCTCATGGGACCGTTTTTAGTCCTCTGGAGCCTTCAGGGACCTTCAGATGGCTTCCCTGAAGGCTCCGGAAGACTAAAAACAGCCCTATGAGCAAACCGGAAGTCACTTCCTGTTTGTCTGTTAGGTCGTTTTTCGTCCTCCGGAGTCTTCAGGGAAACCTCCGGAAGGCCTGAATGCTCTGGAGGGCTTAAACTCGCCTTACGAGCAAAACGGAAGTCCGTTCCCGAACTTCCAGTTTGCCCATAGGGCCAGTTTTTTTGTGCTCCGAAGGCTTCAGGGAAGCTCCTGAAGAGTCCGGAGGGCCTTTGGGGGGAGGCGGTTTTTGCCCTCCCCAGGCTCCTATAAAGCCTCTGGAGCCTGGGGAGGGTGAAAAATGCCTTTAAAAAAGGCTGAACTCAGCTGGCCAGCATGCCATAGGTTTGCCATCCCGGTTATAGAGTGCTCCGGGGGGGAGGGGGTAAAAATGAGCAAAAAATGGACCATTTTCTGCCTTCCTCAGCACCCAAGAACTCTCTACAAGCCTATGCACGGCCATTTTGGTGAAGTGGGTGGAGTTTTGGGAGGAAAAAAAATGCTGTATTCTACGTATAAGACACACCCAGATTTTCAGCCTCTTTTTTGAGGGGAAAAAGGTGCGTCTTATACTCCGAAAAACACGGTACTTCAAAAATCATAGTCTTCTTAAAAGATTCAGACTTTTTCCTGTAGCACTGCTTGAAAAAAGTGTCTTCTAAAAACTGACAATGGGTTTGGGAGTCAATTTTGAGTCTACCTGCAACCCAAAAAGGTCCAAGTAGCTCATCTTTCATAATACCAGCCCATACCAGTACCCCACCTCCACCATGCTGGCATTTGAGTGAAATGGAGCTCTGGAGCCACGGGCTCATCCATCTGGTCCATCAAGAGTCACTCTCATCCAATCAGTCCATAAAACCTTTGAAAAATCTCTCTTCAGATATTTCTTGGCCCAATGTTGCTGTTTCAACTTATGTGTCTTGTTCAGCGGTGGTCGGATTTCAGCCTTCCTTACCTTGGCCATGTCTCTGAGCACTGAACACCTTGTACTTCTGGTCACTCCAGGTAGGCTGAAATATGGCAGCACTGGAGGATAATGAGTTCCTGGTAATTTCATGTTTGATTCTTCTCAAATCCTTGGCAGTTAAGGTGCGTCTTTTTTCCCCAATATGTTTCTGGCAACCCTGTTGACTATTTGCAACAAAACGTTTGACGGTTCTGCGATGACGCCCCAATATCTTAGCAATTTCAAGAGTGCTGCATCCCTATGAAAGACTTGTTACAATTTTTGACTTGAATTTCTTTTTTAGTCCATTTTGCCTGAAAAAAACAAGTTGCCTAATAATTATGCATACCTTGATATAGGGTGTTGATCTCCTTAGTCCACACCCTCCCTCATGACACAAATAGATATCACCTGAAGTGCTCATATCCATTAAGCATTTAAGTTTATACAGCTTGGAGGTAGAAAATATGCATACAAAGGATAATATGGTCAAAACACTCAGTTGCCTAATAATTGTGCACATGGTATAGAGTAGCTGTAGTTCATCTAGTTGCATTTCCTATTTGGTTTACCAGGAAAGCTAACAAAAAGATACTCAAATATCTGGTATACATCAAATAAATACATACATAAATTCAACAAGGGCTGACAATTGCTTTGCAAATACCCAATAAACAGAAATACACATTGACATATTATTAATTTGAAAGAGAACTACACTGCAATTCCCTTCTTTGAATAAGCTTTGCAATCTTTCAAAATAGAACTACTAAACCGAAATGTATTAGAATTCAATGTCAAGGACAGGTTGAATCTTAAAATTCCCATACAGGATCTTCACAAAATTCACTTACTTCAGAATTTCATGACAACTATGGACTGCATATTCATCAGTTGCTACAAATAGATGCATAAATAGTGTATTTAAAGGCTGTGAATAAAAAAAAAGTTACGAACTTAATAAAAACATTTCATTTTAATAAAATAACTTTAGCTTTGTTCTTGTAAAAATGAATGCAACACTGCAACAAACTACTCCAGTATTTTAGTTGTGGAAAAAAATGTAAAGGATTTTTTTAAAAGTTCACTATATTTTGTTATCCTTTTCTCAAGTTATTGTATTACCTAGAAGTATATGTTGACTTGGGGTAAACAGAAAAGCTGACTGTATGTATGTATGTATGTATGTATGTATGTATGTATGTATGTATGTATGTATGTATGTATGTATCATGCTGTTCCCTTTCTGCATAAACATTTTACACATAGCACTGAAAAGGAGTAATAAAAAAGCCAAAAAACCCCAAAGATCTTAGATAAGAAAAAGAAATATAAATCTAATTTAATGAACATTGTTCATACCTTTCATATCGTTCATACCTTTCTATCCTTGAAGGCTGCATTCTTGTTTCCGCCATATCATAGAAGTAGATGGACTTTTGTTCTTTAAACTCTCTTTGAGCATCTGATGACTTCTTCAGCTTTCCCCTCCCTCTTGATCTACTGTTTTACATCTGTGATAATTGGCTTATTTGTAATCTATTCCTTTTCTAGTGACCCCGAGCATGGAATTTGCTTTCTTTATGCACGCTGTGCAGATGATCTGAACTATCACTCTGATAGACATAACTGTAAAAATGCTAACATTGAATTGTATTTGCTGTTTATTAACCCAGTCACCAAGCTTGTGATGTTTCTTTTGAGATTTTTTACAATCCATTTGGTTTTTGCTACTATATCTGAGAAAAATTTGTGTCATCTGTAAATTTTATTTCCTTATTAGATGTGCAGAATTCTGAATCATTTATGAACAACTGAATGATGCTGGGACCCAAATACTTGCAGGATACCATTTCTTACTTCTTATTCCATTACACATATTTCCCATTTATTTTCCAACTAACTTTCATCTCTATATTCATGATTCAACTCTATTCACCAACATGTTCTCTTTAAATCAAAAGAAATGTCTTTCTTATATCCATACATTTCTTAAGTACACAATAAAGAACAATAATCTGGTCTACACATCAACTGCCCCAAAATAAAGCTATGCTATATTTCTGAGATCTGGTTCATTATCACCTCTTCTACCCCTTCAATCAGAATGCTACAAAACGTTGCCTCAAACACTTACCAGACTAATTCCACTATAGTTTTTGTACTCACGCTTGCTACCTTTCCTATTGCAAAAGGAAACATAATGGTTTCCTTCTTATGCTGAAACACTCCATAATTATTATAAACTCCATAAACTATTTATAATTCAAAATAGCCACTTATATTTATCTGTGTGCAACTATTTCACATTTCAATGTCATCAATGCATTTATTATTGTTGACATTATTTTTGTGGACGCTAACAGAGGTTTTGTCTTGCCTCTGGAGAATACTGGTAATTTTGTTAACTCTGGGAAAAGTTATTCACTCTCTCACATCTCTTCTTGAAGATTGCCCTCATCCTTTCTTTAGAATTTATATTTGGAAAAATTAAGTGTTAAAGGTGATACTTGGAAAAAAACCTTTGGAATTTTTAATAGCCAGAGCCAGATCTACACATTACTAATTATAAATAAATACGGACAAAAAAAGTGCGTGGTCTTATTCTGTCTGTCAAACAAAGCTAACAATACTTGGGGTTAGACTTCAGAAGACAAGGGTATAAAATCAAGGAATACTAGCAAATAAAGTCATTTTTTCATGTTTTCTTGTAATTTAAAATAAAAATAGAATAAAATGTATTATGCATTTATTCCTCTGAGAACATACAAAAATGAATTAGAATTAGAATTTTTGAGTGAAAAAAATGTCCATACTTACTGTACACTTTGTCTCAGGATAGTTTTGTTTCATATATGTTTCCCAATTAGCTTCATCAACAATACCCCAGTTAGGATAATCCAAAAATGCAGCATGAGCAACACTTACATTTTTATCATTAATCACAGTCACTGCAAGATTAGTTTTTTCTCTGTAAAATAAATGTTATGTTTTTGAAGTGAAATTAGTAAAAGAGAATTCGATTTATTTATTTTATATAATGAGAAGGTGTTATAATGGTGTTACTTACAAAAGATATATGACATTAATCCTGCCAAACAATCTTTCTGTATCATATTTCATAAGATTGATAATATTAGGAATATCATGGGATTCTGTCCTTCTGGTATTTAATACAAATAAAGATGCTGGTGTAGATGAGATTCTTGCAGATGAAAAGGAAGACATTGTGCATACTGTAACAAAACAACAACCAAATATTCCACTTGAATAATGCTACTTATCACCAAAGATATTACTGAAATGGTTCCAAAATTAATCTCCAGAAATATTTTAAAGTCACAACATTCCTTAAATATTTCAGTCAAGAAATTAAACCTTACGGAAGTGCATTTAATTTATAATTCAATAGTGCCTATTTCAAAGTAAACAGTAAGCTGAATTTTAGTATGTAACCAGAACACCCATGAATTATTGGATCATTATTTTGGAAGTATTTCCTTACCAGATTCCTCAATGGCTTCAACAATGGCAGAGTTTCTAATGTACTTCAAAAGTTCTTATGAATTTAGGGAAATAGTCAGATATATCTGTCCTATAAATATCCCAGGTTGAACTATATAGCACTTAGCACTTATAGACTTATATACTGCTTCACAGCCCTCTTTAATTGGCTTACAGAGTCAGCATATTGCTCCCAACAATCTGGGTCCTCATTTCACTGACCTCAGAAGGATGGAAGGCTCAGTCAACCCTGAGCTGGTCGGGATCAAACTGCTGGCAGCCATCAGAATTAGCCTCAACACTGCATTATAATCACTGCACCACCACTGCTGCAAGCTAACTGCACAGTCAAACATCAGTAGTTCACCATAGGAAATGTTTTATGACATTTGTACTATGACATAAAATGCTTTATGATTTTTATGAATTTTTATGTTATGTTTCAAACATTTTTTCAAATTTCAGTACTACAGGAATCATGGCTCTTGAATTTTAGATGTATTATGTAAGTTAGCCCATTTGAAGTATTTTGGCTCAAAACTTTTACCCTAAGGTTTTGCCCAGTTAAATGTTATAGAAATAGGTTAAAGAAGTGTGTAGATAGATATTCCAGGGTTATGGTTAGGGATCTCTGATAAGCAGGATGTATCATATAAAATAATAAAGTAGTGGAATCCTATATTTAAATGGTAGTAGAATAGATCAGAGGTGGGTTGCTGCTTGTTCGCCCCGGATCGGACAAATCGGTACTGACTGCAGCAGTGGGAGTCTCCGCCCAACCGCCTAGATGCTTCTGCGTATGCGCGCAGGAGAGAACTGATAGTAAAATAAATTGCAACCCACCACTGGAATGGATCATATACTTAATAAATTTAAGTAAGTGAAACAACAATAATCAAACAAACTAGCACAGTCTCGATTGATACTATATATTTAAAACAAGACTCTCAAACTTTGATGGATGTAAAATTAAGAGTGAATTATAGAGGCTTTCTAAAGTTTGGTTAGAGTGGCAGAAAATTGTTTGTTAACAGTCATCATCAGGGCTCAGTCTTTAGAAATATATTTTAATGTATTGGGGGGAGCTAATGTATTTAGCAAGCTTGATTCCTTGGTTCGTATTTCTGTAGTTTTCCTGGCAGTAACACACAAGTAAGTTTTTAATTAATTTATTTATATCCTACCTTTGTTACTTACAACTCTGTGAGATGAGTTGGGTGAAAGAGAATGCCTGGGCCAAAGTCACCCAGCTGGACTAGGACTCACAGTCTCCGGCTTTCTAGGCTGATGCCTTAACCACTAGATCAAACTGACAATTGTTATCTCCTAGGACAGTGTTTCTCAATCTTGGCAACTTGAAGATGTCTGGACTTCAACTCCCAGAATTCCCCAGCCAGCATTCGCTGGCTGGGGAATTCTGGGACTTGAAGTCCAGACATCTTCAAGTTGCTAAGGTTGAGAAACACTGTCCTAGGATTTTTTTTTAAATTTCCCAGACTTAAGCTAATGATATTCCCTGGAGTCTCCCATCTGTATACTGCCAGCTCTAACCTGCCTACCTATTCCAACATTTTGTCTCCTAATCAACTAGCCTAGAGCCCTGTACTTACAAGTTGAACAATCATCACTAACTAAAAAGAGCCGAGGTGGCGCAGTGGTTAAATGCAGCACTGCAGGCTACTTCAGCTGACTGCAGTTCTGCA